GCGGGCTAATGCTCTGGACCGCAAAGTTGGCTGTTCAAACTCACCAGCCTCTCCTCGGACACCCTGCACAGGGTCGCTATGAGTCAAAACCGACTTAACGCCACTCAATAACAACCACAAAGCAAGAGTGGAGTCCTGGTGTGGCAGTGTAGGGTAAGCACTGGACAGCAAGGTTGGCGCCTGGTGCAGCACTGTGGGTTAATGGGCTGGATTACAAAGTCAGGTTGATCCACAAGGTCAGTGGTTCAAGCTCATCAGCTGCTTCTTGGAAACCCTATACAGGGTCACTGTGGATGGGAAAGGACTTGACGGCTCCTAACAACAACCACAGTAACAAGATTCTAGCACTGCGCTGTAAAATGTCCTCACCCATAATGCCCTTTTCTGATGCAGGTACTCTTAAATTTTTTTTTTTAATTGTGGTAGCCATTTGGTCATGTGAGGTTTTTAACTTCCCACCAGAGCTATCCATTTCAAGCTGAAGCCAAGTGTTCAGAGTTCAAAAGTTTGGATACTCTCTTATAGTATACACATGTTGTCTGAATACAAACTGAAGATCAACGTTGGAGAGAAACAGAACACCTTGCTTCACAAATATTTTTGGTCTGGGTGAGGTTTTATGTGATTCTTCGGCATTCTGGGAGATCCTTTAACAAGTGAAGGCTGATGGTCATTGTTTCCACTCGCAGCTCCCAAAACAGTGACACTGGTACCTAGGGGCCTGTCCTCCCCTCCCTCTCCCAAAGGATGACCTGTCTACTCTGAGTAAGGAACCCTGGTGGCACAATTCAATCTCTGTTACTGATATTGAATTGCACTTACTATGCCAACCACTTGGGGTGGGGGACAGAATAATAATAGGAACTGGCATTCTATAATTTATTTCTTTCATTTATAAATCATATGTTAACATTTGCTCTTGTTAATAAATTGCCTCATAAGACTGAATATCTACACCATCAAGAAACATCAGAATTTTACTTCTGCAGTTATTACTATGGTGACAGACTAGAGACACGTTTGAAAGTCAGGACAGAGCAGGATGATAAACCGCAGTGCCTCTGACTTTGAGAGATTATGTCCTAAACATCAACACACGCCAGCTTCCATGGGCCCGCCCTCACTGGAGATGAAACAGGAAATGTGGCAGCCACTGTATAAAACGTACAGCCACTCGAGATGCTGACGCCACTGGGGGTTCAGGGTCGGTGAAACTGTTTTCATAGTTCGGCAAAAGTAATCATCACCAAGTAATAAGGCACTCAAATTATTAAGGTATTATTATTATCTATTAATAATAATAATAATATCTATTAAGGAGTTCTGGTAGCGTAATGGTTACGAATCGGGCTGCAAACCTTAAGGTCAGCGGTTCGAAACTACCAGCCGCTCCGCGGGAGAAAGATGAGGCTTTTTACTCCCATAAAGATTTAC